GTTTTATCGGAAACAAGCGCTGTTGGTTTTTGATGAATTAAACTACCACTAAAAAGAAATAACATACAAATGATTCGCTAGACTGAACTACTGGTGGACATTAATTAGTATGTTTATTTTCCATAGATACATGTCGAGTTTCTTAAAATTTAATACAAAAAAAATTAATGATTTCATTTCAAAAACTGTGAAATTATTAAATCACTAATACATAATAATTTGTTTCATATATTTATCAGACTATTTTGTTAATAGAAATACTGTTTTCACCAAATATTATTTTAACATATGTATTATTAACGTTACTTTTTGTTTTTATTAGTAAATATCAAATCGTAGTATCGATAAGCATTTTAAATGTTACAAATACGTATAATTTTCCTAGTATTGGCTTATCGTCATATTTTTATATTTTGTAAATAAATATTTCATTTGTATTTTTGTGGTTGTATTATATGCGAGTCCTTTCATCATTTGTTGAGTTTGTTTGTTATTAAGCAAAATGCTACACAATGCTGTGCCCACTATGGGTATCGAAACCCGGTTTTTATCCCCCATAAGCATGCAGACTTATTGTTTAGCCAAAGAAAATAATGGAAGCTAGAAAGCTCTGTTTATTAATCAGAAGACAGTTTTAACTCCAAAATATATAAGACAATTAAAAAAAAAACATAGTAAATTACTGCACCAGTTTGTTTGTAGTTTAAGCACAAAGCTACACAATGGGCTATCTGTGCTCTACCCACCACGGTTATCGAAATCGCGTTTCTAGCATTGTAAGTCCGAAGAAATACTGCTGTGCCACTGGGGGGGGGGGCTACTGCTCTAGAGATCGATAGTATCAATAAATATATTACAACAACTATTTAATTAAAGTACAAGGTCAGTAACTTGTTTTAAAAAGTTTACTTTAACAGTATGAATAATTTATTATACAATTTTAGGCTAATATCAATTGAACCATCATAATGTAACAGTATTTTGGGATTGAAAACTTTTGCTCTTTAGCTATATTACATTATTGGAATATAAAAATATAACTTTTGGAAGATAAATTTTATTCTCTTTGTAATTATATTAATGGCAGAAAGTTTATATATTTATCATAATTATATTGATTGTTCTTTAAACAGCCGAGTCTCATAGGGGATAGTGGAATAGTGCAGAAATAAATGCAATTAATTAGCTTTACGTGAAATGATTTGAAATTGAAGAATAGATAAAATACAAGTTTTAAAATTGTACTACTTTTCTTGTCACTACAGTTGCTCGTTGTTTAGAGCAAAGCCACTTTGG